GTCAAGGCTCTCTTTTCTACCTCCTCCATGTACAGGTTGGCAACAATAGGAGAAACTGGAGACCCCATAGCACACCCATGTTTCTGCCTATAATATTGCTCCCCATATGTGAAGTAAGTTGACTGCAGGCACAGTTTCAAGAGTTGACACAGTTGTTCTGTGGAAAGCGTGGTCCTACTGCTCAGAGTGGTGTCTGAATTTAATCTTAAACTGACCTAAACTGATGTTAATACTTTGTAGCACCGCCTTTTGCTGCAGTTCCAGCTGCAAGTCTCTTGGGGTATGTCTCTATCAGTTTTGCACATGGAGAGACTGAAATTCTTGCCCTTTCTTCCTGCAAAACAGCTCGAGCTCAGTGAGGTAGGATGGAGAGCGTTTGTGAACAGCAGTCTTCAGTTCTTTCCACAGATTCTCGATTGGATTCAGGTCTGGACTTTGACTTGGCCATTCCAACACCTGGATCAGTTTATTTGTGAACCATTCCATTGTAGATTTGGCTTTATGTTTTGATCATTGTCTTGTTGGAAGATAAATCTCCGTCCCAGTCTCAGGTCTCTTGCAGACTCAAACAGGTTTTCTTCCAGAATGGTCCTGTATTTGGCCCCATCCATCTTCCCATCAATTCTGACCATCTTCCCTGTCCCTGCTGACGAAAAGCATGCCCAAACCATGATGCTGCCACCACCATGTTTGACAGTGGGGATGGTGTGTTCAGGGTGATGAGCTGTGTTGATTTTACGCAAAACATATTGTTTTGCATTGTGGCCAAACAGTTGGATTTTGGTTTCATCTATCAGAGCACCTTCTTCCACATGTTTGGTGTGTCTCCCAGGTGCTTGTGGCAAACTTTAAATGACACTTTTTATGGATATCTTTGAGAAATGGCTTTCTTCTTGCCACTCTTCCATAAAAGCCAGATTTGTGCAGTGTACGACTGATTGTTGTCCTATGGACAGACTCTCCCACCTCAGCTATAGATCTCTGCAGTTCATCCAGAGTGATCATGGGCCTCTTGGCTGCATCTCTGATCAGTCTTCTCCTTGTTCGAGATGAAATTTTAGAGGGACGGCTGGGTCTTGGTAGATTTGCAGTGGTCTGATACTCCTTCCATTTCAATATGATTGCTTGCACAGTGCTCCTTGGGATGTTTAAAGCTTGGGAAATCGTTTTGTATCCAAATCCGGCTTTAAACTTCTCCACAACAGTATCTCGGACCTGCCTGGTGTGTTCCTTGGTCTTCATGATGCTCTCTGTACTTTGAACAGAACCCTGAAACTATCACAGAGGAGGTGCATTTAAACGGAGACTTGATTACACACAGGTGGATTCTATTTATCATCATCAGTCATTTGGGACAACATTGGATTATTCATAGATCCTCACTGAACTTCTGGAGTGAGTTTGCTGCACTGAAAGTAAAGGGGCCGAATAATATTGCACGCCCCACTTTTCAGTTTTTTATTTGATAAAAAAGTTTGACACATCCAATATATTTCATTCCACTTCACGCTTGTGTCCCACTTGTTGTTGATTCTTCACAAAAAATTAAAATTTTATATCTTTATGCTTGAAGCCTGAAATGTGGCAAAACGTTGAAAAGTTCAAGGGGGACGAATACTTCCGCAAGGCACTGTATGCTGACAATACACAGCTTCTTGTTATTTATACAAAGTTTTATTATGAAATATCTACCCTCTGGGTCTGTAACTTTGTCTAGTACTGTAAAATTAACATTTTTGCATATCAATATTGCCACTCCTTTTTGTCTTGAGTTATAGCAGGCACAAAACACATCAGGGAACTCAAGTGATTTAAGATCATCTGCAGTTGTAATAGATTTACGAGTCTCTTGTAAAAAGACAACATCTGCCTGTAATCTTTTAAGCTGGTTTAAAATTCCTAATCTTTTTTGTTGAGTACTGGTTCCATTGACATTCCAAGTCACAAACCTTAATGTGCCCATAGTTGTGCGTGAGTAGCTAAAGTTGACCAGCGCATGTCATTGTAAGTCCAGTCTTAAAACTGGACAATGCGTCAGCCTCATGGACTGGAAGTTGGTTCCACAAGAGAGGAGCCTGATAACTGAAAAATCTTCCTCCCATTCTGCTTTTGGAAACTAGAAATTGCAAGTAAACCTGCAGTCTGAGAGCCAAATGCTCTGTTAGGTAAATATGGAACAATAAGATCTGTAATATAAGATGGAGCTAGGTTGTTGAGAGCTTTGTAGGTTAGACGTAATATTTTGAATTCTATTTTGGATTTGACAAGGAGCCAATGGAGAGAAACTAAAACTGGAGAGATATGATTTCTCCTACAGTTAAGACTCTGGCAGCAGCATTTTGGATCAACTGACGACTTTTTAAAAAAGTATTTGGGCACCCAGATAATAAACCATTGCAATAGTCCAGCCTAGATGTGACAAATGCATGAACCAGTTTTTCTGTATAATTTTTAGATATTTCTAATTTTAGTGATGTTGCGCAGGTGGAAGAAGGCAGTTCTATTAACTTTTTTAATGTGGGGGATAAAAAACATGTCCTGATCAAAAATAACACCAAGATTTTTAACATTAGAGCTGGAGGTCAGATTAATGCCATCTAAGGAGGGAGAAAGACTGAAAAAATTATTCTTAAGATGCTCATGTCCAAAAACTAAAACCTCAATCTTATCTGTATTCAAAAGCAGAAAAGAGCCTCTGTCCCCTGGTGGATCTCGGAGAGTGGGGGTGCCTATTGGGGTCAGTGGGGGAGCTGGTCCCCTGGGGGGGCATTGCCACCTCAGTTCACCTCCCCATCCCAACGTCCTCCTCCGCCCACTCCACCACACCACCACTCAAACAGGGTTTTGGGGTTCAGGTGCTCTACTGAGCTACGGGGAGAATCATCCATCTCCGTGGCTGGTGGGGTCCTGGGCCCTAATTTTAATATACAACCTAGACACTCACTTATAACACTCTCACGACACATGCATATATAGGATCTGGAGTGGGCACATGATCGCACTTAGGTGGTGGGATGTACTACCATTTCCACCTCCCCGGACCTGTGCCCACTCTCATATGTAGCATGTAGACATTTAGGGTTCTGGGCAGAGATGAGGGGTGAACGGGCGCCGCCTGCTCTCTGGGCAAGAGGTGGGTCTGTGCCGGTCGCCACCTCATCCCCCCATTTTAAATGCACTGTATAACAACATGCATCAACACCATATTCGAGTGGGAGGAGGAGGAAGTGGGTCTGTTCATAATTTATTTATGCATATATAGATTTAGTTTTTAATTTTTATTTTTCCCTTTCACAAACACCTCCTTTCTCCGTGTGACACTAGGGGTCGGGGATGGAGGAAGGGGGGGGGGGCGCATTGTTGGGGTCTGGGCTGTGGGTGGGCTTTGGGCCTTGGGGGCGGTCAGTGATGGGGCCGGTGCTTCGGTTCCTCCTGGGCTGTTCCGATTCTTTTAATCTAGGTTCCTGGTTGCGATGGCCGGCACTTTGACCGGGGTGGCTGCCGGCTTTCGGCGGGGGGTCGGCTATGGTAGTGTACGTGTGGTCATTGGTGGTGTAGGGTGGCGGTTGGGGGCGTGGCTTCGCCTCATCCGGGCACTGGCTGGTCTTCCTGTGCGGCATTTGCAGTGGGGGTGCTGTGTGTGTGGGGGGGTGCATGGGTGGCGTGCTGGGGCGTCTCCGGGTCTATGGTGCGGAGCTCTTGATGTGAGAGCCGGCCCTCCTCAGCTGCGGCTCCCTGCTGCTCTGCCCCTTGGGCTGGGGCCGGCCTGTGGTCGCTGTCAGGTAGATGGTGCATGCGGTCGGCCCAACAGAGATTCTGTTGGGCTATCTGTGTGTGCCTGTTGATTGCTCAGGTTGGGTTTTTGGTGGTCCCCCCTCTCTTGGATCAATTTGGGCCCCACGTTTGGTGTGGGGCCCACTCCCCCCGATCGTGCCCCCCTTTGGCGGGAGACCCCCTTGCCACCGGTGCATTGGTGGCTCTCGGTGTCTGGGCTGGGTGGTGGGGTGCACGTCGGTCCGCCCTGGTTGCTGCCTGGCGGGGCCTGGGTGCCCTGGCTCTGTTGGGGCTCTGCTGGGGGTGGTATGGCCTCGGGGCTTGGGGCTCGGTGTCCATGGCCGGATCTACTTGGGGGGGGCATGGGTCGCCGGCCGGACCTGTGGGCTCGTCGCTGCAGCTTCCTGGAGGCTCTGCATTGTGGTGGCTGGGGTCACCCGGTTCTTTCCTCTGCTCCTCTCTGGGGGGGTGCGGTTCTCCCTGTTGGGAGACTCTTGGGGCTCCGGGCCTGTGGGCCGCTGTGTGTCTGTGGCTCCGGTCCTCCCTATGTTGCCATTGTGTCCTGGGGGGGCGGGTCTGTGGGCCCCCGCATCCACTATTGGGCATTCTTTTGGAGAAATCTGGTGGTGGCGGGCGTGCTTGCGCGGGTGTTTGGATTCAGGTGCTTTGGCAGATGCACGCTAGGTTGGGTAGTGGTGGAAGCTAGATGATTCCTTGTGCGATGTCGAATGTTTCATGGTGATATTGTGGGTGGCATTGTGCTGTGCATGTTGTTTTGTCATGGTGGTCTCTCGTCTTATCTTCTTCTCTTTTATTATTTATTTATTCTTCTTTCTTCTCTTTCTTTAAAAAAAAATAAAATAAAAATTGAGCGATGATAAGTTCATTGAAACACTTCACAATGTTTCTACACTTAAACTGAGCTCAAAAGAAAAAAAAAAAAAAAGCAGAAAATTTAGTCATCCAGGTTTTTATGTCTGAACTTTTTTCTAAACAAGCTTCAGTGCTTCGGAACAGCTTCATTTAACCATCACTACCTTTAACCTTTCTCTGATTGATGGACAGCTGCTTATGCAGTGCTGATATCTTTTTGTCTTGACATTGAGTTGAGACACCAGAATGCTGCAGAGGAGCAACAAACCATCTTATGTTCTGTAGGAGCTCACACTTAATGATGCTCAGTTACTCTTAACTTTGTAAGGAAGCAGTAAGAGTGAACTGCATATTTTATAAAGTATCTCAGTGTTTGGGCTTAGATTGTAAACAGGGGTGTCAGAGGGGGGAAAAAATTTAAAACATTTATAACTTAAACTTATAACTTAAATTTAAAACTTTTTATAACTTAACTTAAAATTCAAAACTTATTTCACGCCAATGACCAATTTGAGTGAATACATAAACTCCAGTCAGATACCAGATATATTTTCTTGGCTGCAGGTCCCTCAAGGGTTTCATTGGTCTCGCTTTTCCGCAACAACATACAATATTATGGAAATTTCTATTTTTTTTTCTTCAAAACATGGCCAACAATCACAAGAAGTATGTACCAATAAAATATGCTCAGTGTTACCAAAAATGAAAGGCAATAAAAATATTGAACTTTTAATATATTACCTTAAGGACCAGTCAAGATTTTAACAAGGGTCATTATTGGACCTCAGGCCTTGAGTTTGACGTGGTATAATATATCACGTGTAGTTGTATTCATTTTATTTAAGCCCTTGTAAAAGGTATTTCTACTATGCTCTGACACATAAACTCTTCAGATTAAAATAAAGTACACATTGGGTCAGTTTAAGTCATTAAGGAGCAAGATTCTGTAATCTCGAGATTAAGAAGTAAAAAAAGGGTTGTAAGATCAATCAACCATATAGATGACAACAAAACAGGTTAAATCATGTCATCTAGACCAGTTTCAAGTGAGAAACGTTTTGCCCCCCATCCGAAGGACTTCATCAGTCTGCGGCTTTGGTTGTCCTCAGGTTGTTTCTGTGAGTAGCAAGTTGGCCATCTGGCCTAAAACATTTGATTGTTGTACATGATGATTTGGATGGGTGTGTTCTGCACATGTTAAAAACCTACTTCTGAGATTCCAATGGGAGGTTGACTTGAAACACAGCAATAAAGGCTACATATGGGACAGATCTGGTTGGCATGCCTCAGACTGATGAAGTCCTCTGAATGGGGGACAAAATGTTTCTAACTTAAAGAAACTGGTCCAGATTACATGATTAAATTTTTTTGTTATTAAGAAGTAACAAACCAGCCATAAGGGAGCACAAGCCAGTGTATTTCTTGTGTTGGTTCCAATCCCGGGTAAATGGTGAGGGTTGTGGCAGAAAGAGCATCTGATGTAAAACACTTTTGCCAAAACTATAATGTGAGTTCATCAAAGCAAAACCATACAGGATTGGTCGAGGCCTGGGTTAACAAAGACTGCCACCGGTGCTGTTGACAAACAGAGTGCTGGCGGAAATTGTGCTACTGTTAGTCGAAGACCACGAGGAAGGAATCGTGTCAGGAGACAGAGGGAGAAGAGGAAAGTCAAGAATGTTAGACTGATGTTTGCAAATCTAAATGTGGGGACAATGACAGGCAAAGGTAGAGAGCTGGCTGACATGATGCAGAGAAAAAAGGTAGATGTTTTATGTGTTCAAGAGACCAAGTGGAAGGGCAGCAAGGCTCGCAGCATTGGAGCAGGGTTTAAACTGTTTTACCATGGTTTGGATAGAAAGAGAAATGGAGTAGGGGTGGTCCTGAAGGAGAAGTTGGCAGAGAATGTAGTAGAGGTGAAAAGAGTGTCAGATAGTGTGATGTGTCTGAAGGTAGAAGTAGAAGGTCTGATGATAAACATTGTCAATGGTTATGTGATGAAGAAGAGAAAGATACATTTTGGAAGGATCTGGATGAAGTGCTAGAGAACATTCCCATGGAGTAAAGAGTGGTGATCGGAGCACACCTGAATGGACATGTTGGTGAAGGAAACAGAGGGGTGAGGAAGTGAAGGGTAGGTGTGCTGTCAAGGAAAGAAACCAGGAAGGACAGATGGAGGTAGATTTTGTGAAAAGAATAGAAATGGCTATAGTCAACACCTGTTTCCAAAAGAGGGAGGAACATAGAATGACCTATAAGAGTGGAGGAAGGAGTATGTAGGTAGACTACATTCTGTTTACAAGAGGAAACCTGAAGGAGATTGGAGACAGTAAGGTTGTGGGAGGGGAGAGCGGGGAGAGCATCATGTCAGCCAGACAGCATACATACACAGTCTATGACTTTTAACATTCTATGACTGTTGTTGTGAAGAAGAGAAAAAGAGTAAAATCAAAGAAGAAGACCAAATGGTGGAAGCTGAGAAAAGAATAATGTTGTGATAAATTCAGAGAGGAGCTGTTAAAGGCTCTGGATGGTAAGATAGAGATTCCAAATGACTGGACTGCTACAGTAAAAATAATTAGAGACAGGTAGGAAGTACTTGGTGTGTCATCTGGACAGAGAATTGATGATAAGGAAAGCTGGTGGTGGAATAGTGAAATGCAGGAAGCCGTTCAAAGAAAGAGTTTAGCCAAGAATAAATTTGACAGTGAAAGAACTGAAGAGAGGAGCCAGGAATATAAAGAGATGGAATGAGCAAAGAGGGAGGTGGGAAAGCAGAAGGTGTGTGATGAGTTGTATGAGAGACTGGACACTAAAGAGGGTGAGAGGGACTTGTACCGATTGGCAATACAGAGGGATCAGGCTGGAAAGGATGTGCAGCAGGTTAGGCTTGTTAAAAAAAGGAATGGTAATATTCTACAAGTGAGGAGAGTTCGATGGGAGGATGGAAGGTGTACTTTGAGGAGTTAATTAATGAAAAGCATGAAAGAGAAAGAAGAGTAAAGGTCATAGAAACTATGGACCAGGAAGTAGGAAAGATTAGTGAGGGTGAAGTCTGGAAAGCTCTGAAAAGAATGAAGAAGAAGAAGGCAGTAGGACCTGATGACATACAAGTGGAGGTTTGGAAATGTCTTGGAGAGATAGCAGTGAGGTTTTTGACTCAAATATGCCATTGCGGGTGAGAAAATGCTTGAGGAATGGAGGAGAAGTGTGCTGGTGCCTATTTTTAAGAGCAAGGGTGATGTACAGAGTTTTAGAAACTACAGGGGAATTAAGTTGATGAGCCACATGATGAAGATCTGGGAGAGAGTTGTGGAAGCTAGACTTAGACGAGAGGTGACTTTTTGTGAGCAGCAGTATGGTTTCATGCAGAGAAAGAGCACCACAGATGCCATCTATGCTTTGAGGATGTTGATGAAGAAGTACATAGGATCAGAAAGAACTCCATTGTGTCTTTGTGGATTTAGAAAAACATATGATAGGGTGCCGAGGGAAGAGGTGTGGTATTGCATGAGGAAATCTGGAGTGGCAGAGAAGTATGTTAGACTGGTACCGGACATGTATAAGGACAGCAGGACAGTGGTGAGATGTGCTGTAGGAGTGACAGATAGCTTCAAGGTGGAGGTGGGATTGAATCAAGGATCGGCTCTGAGCCCCTTCTTGTTTGCTTTGGTAATGGACCAACTAACAGATGAGGTCAGGCAGGAATCCCCGTGGACTATGATGTTTGCAGATGACATTGTGATCTGTGGTGAGAACAGGGAACAGGTGGAAGAGAACTTGGAGAGGTGGAGGTAAGCATTTGAAAGAGGAGGAATGAAAGTCAGCCGTAGTAAGACAGAGTACGTGTGTGAATGAGAGGGAGGAGGTGGAACAGTGAGACTACAAGGAGCAGAGGTCACAAAGGTGCAGGACTTCAAGTGCTTGCAGCCCACTGTCCAGGAAAATGGGGTGTATGGTAAAGAGATGAAGACGAGAGTCCAAGCAGGATGGAGTGGATGGAGAAAGGTTTCAGGAATGATTTGTGACAAAAGGGTGTCAGCAAAGGTCAAAGGAAAAGTTTACAAGAAAGTGGTGAGACCAGCTATGTTGTATGGTCTGAAGACAGAGACATGGGCAAAAAGACAGGAGAAAGAACTGGAAGTGGCAGAAATGAAGATGTTGAGGTTCTCTTTAGGAGTGACAAGGATGGATAAATTAGGAATTAGATCAGAGGTACAGCACAGGTTGAACAACTGGGAGACAAAGTTAGAGAGGCCAGACTGAGATGGTTTGGACATGTCTAGAGGAGGGACAGTTGGTATATTGGTAGAAGGATGTTAGAAATGCAGCTGCCTGGAAAAAGACAAAGAGGAGCTATATGGATGCAGTTAGAGAAAACATGGAGGTAGTTGGAGTGAGGACAGACGATGCAGAGGACAGAGTGAGGTGGAGGATGACTCGCTGTGGAGACTTACCACTTTTATTGTCTGTCCAAACAAGTCTCACTTGTAAATGAGTCTTTGAGGCTCAATGTGACTTATCTGTTTAAATAAAAGTTGAATGAATGAATGAATTAAACTTCCCCCTGATGTTGACATACTTTGTTATGCAGTGCAAGTCTCCAAAACAAAACTCCCCCACAGCAGAACAGGTTAAGGTTTGACTATTTTAATGAAAGCAGAAGAATATATCTAAACTTACCAGGAAGAAGCTGCAAATTTCTTCTTTGGTAAACTTTCCATCATCTCTGGTTTTGCTAGCTGTTCAGCTTTTCTTTAATTCTTATTATTTTTCAGCTTCTTCAATGTCGTCGTTGGAATCGCAGACCCTCAGCTTCTCATCCCACCGCCTTTCTGTAACGGTGCCCAACTGGAGAAGAAGAATGAGGATGAGGAGGATCTGATTAGCTTCTTCAGTTTGTTTTAAAGACTGTCAGGATTGTGGTATAATATGCACAAATGTGGAAGTTTACATTCTTAGGAGCTTTCCTTGGTGAAAATGAGTCTCTAAATGAGCTGAAAGTTGATAAAATCTGTGACTCCAGTAAACCAGTTAAATCTAACATATTATTCATGTGGGTGTTGATTTTTATGCTGGTGTGCAGCTGAAATGTCTGGATTTAGATCCTGCAAGAACTTTGTTGTCATAAAGCAAAACACTTTTTTCATTTATCCAACCTTTATTTATAGAGGTTAATCCCACTGAGCCTCGGGGACTCATTTATGATTGTGGTTATTATTAAAACTCTTTGTATTTATCATACACGAACAGAATCAGATCCAAAATGTTTTATTCTACATTAAAGCTCATCCTAGAGTTTCAGCTTGAGCCCAGTAAAATGGGAGTTTTAGCCTCAATGAATCTTTCTTTGACCCACGGTTCAGTTGAACAGAACCAAAACAAAGATGGAAATCAATGACTAACTGATATGTGACTAGTTTAATGTCAGGCCTAATAAGGTGTCCAACTTCCATGTTGCAGCATCTAGGTGTAAAAAAAAAAGGTCAATATTTAAAAATTTGTTGCCAAGTCAAAATCCAACATGGCCCCCACCATACTGATTATTTGTGAACCCTTTATAATTTTCTATATTTCTGCATAAATATGAGCTAAAACATCAAATTTTCACACAAGTCCTAAAAGTAGATCAAGAGAACCCATAAAGAAATTAGACAAAAATATTATACTAATATATTACATATTTGTGATAACAAATGTATGTGAACCTTTGCTTTCAGTATCTTGTCTGACACCCCCCTATTTTTCTAGAACCATTCTTTGGTAAAACCACTTGTGTTCTGAGGGTCACTGTGTTGCTACATGAACCACCTTCTCCTCTGAGATTCAGTTCATGGACAGATGTTCTGATATTTTCCTTTGAAAACTTTGCTGATATAATTCAGAATTCATTGTTCCATCAATGATGGCAAGCCATCCTGGCCCAGATGCAGCAGAACAGGCCCAAACCATGATACTGCCACCACCATGTTTCACAGATGGGATAAGGTTCTTATGCAGGAATGTGTTTTTACTTTCTCCAAATATAACTTTTCATTTAAACCAAACAGTTCCTTTTTGGTCTCATCCATCCACAAAACATTCTTCCAACAGTCTTCTGGCTTGTCCACATGATGTTTAGCAAACTGCAGACGAGCAGGGACATATTTTTGGAGAGCAGTGGCTTCCTCCTTCAACCCTGCCATAAACCATTGTTGTTCAGTTCTTCTGATGGTGGACTCATGAACATCAACATTAACTGAGAGAGACCTTCAGTTGTTAGAAGTTACCCTGGGGTCCTTTGTGACCTCACAGACTATTCCAGACCTTGCTCTTGGAGTGATCTTTGTTGGTCCATCACTCCTGGAGAGGTAACAGTGGTCTTGAATTTCCTCCATTTGTGCACAATCTGTCTGAATGTGGATTGGTGGAGTCCAAACTCTTTACAGATGTTTTGTAAAATTTTTCAGCCTGATGAGCATCAACAACTGTTTTTCTGAGCTTCTCAGAAATCTCCTTTGTTCCTCCATGATCCACTTCCACAAACATGTTGTGAAGAGCAGACTTTGATAGATTCTGTTCTTTAAATCAAACAAGGTGCCCACTCACACCTGATCATCATCCATTGACTGAAAACACCTGATTCTAATTTCACCTTCAAATTAATTGATAGATCTAGAGGGTCGCATACTTTTACCACTCACAAATATCTAATATTGGATAATTTTCCTTAATAAATAAATGACCAAGAATATTTTTGTCTCATTTGTTTTACTGGGTTCTCTTTATCTACTTTAAAGACTTGTGTGATAATCTGATTATGTTTTTGTCGCAATAGGGCTGGTGAAGGTAAACCCAATGGTGCAAGCAGGCTGTAGCAGACTCAGGAGATTATAAAATAAGGTATTTATTATCAAGAACTCAAAAAGGCTGATGGTGCAGCAAAACTTACATGGAATCACAAGAAGCAGACGGAACATCACCAGTGGACAGCCACCAATGCCAGGACCAAGGACTTCTTCTTCTTCTTCTTCTTCTTCTTCTTCTTCTTGATGAGTTTAATGGCGGTTGGCAAAAAACTGTAGGTGTGCATTACCGCCACCACTGGTATGGAGTGGTCATCATGGGCTAATTCTATGTGCATGTGTGCGTAAACTATATATATCTCAAATTCTATTAATCAACTTTGTTTTCTTAAAATATCTAATTATACTTTGTATATGTTTGCTCTCCAAGTTGTGTTGTAGTGCATCTATTATATTAAGTTTTTCTTTTATCTTTTCAAACTGTCTCTTCATAAACCTTCGTTCTGCTGCATATTTCTGACATTCCAGTATCACATGTTGTATAGTTTCATCTTGTCCACAGTTCTCACATTTTCCTGAATTGTGTTTCTTTATTTGAAATAATGAATAATTCAGTCCCGTATGTCCAAATCTCAATCTTGTTATTAATCTTTCTTCCTTTCTGCTCCTTCTTCCAGTTCTTGTTTCTCCTATTGTCTTTTTGATCCTATAAAACCATCTTCCTTTTTTTTCTTCATCCCATCTTTTCTGCCATTCTTTCTTCAGTTTTTGTTTGATGATACTTTTTACCTCTGATTTGCTTATATTTACTGTAAAGTCAATGTGATTCCGAGTTGCCTTCTTTGCCATCTTATCTGCCATCTCGTTTCCTTCAATCCCAATGTGCGCTGGTACCCATAAAAATGTCACTGTTAAACCCATCCTTTGTGTTCTGAATAATGTGTGGTATATTTCTAATAAAATGTCTGGCCTACTGTCTGTATGATTGTGCTTTAAACTGAGTAATGTGGAACTTGAATCTGAACAGATTATTGTTTTTAATGGTTTTACTTCCTCCACCCACTGCACTGCCAGTAAAACTGCTAACATCTCTCCTGTATATACAGATAAGTCGTTGGTGATTCGTTTTCCTATTTTTATTTGAAATTCCGGTACTATAAAAGCTATTCCTATTTTTTCATTTGTTTTTGATGCATCTGTATATATTTGAATGTACTGGTAATAATTGTTCATATAAGTCTGTACTGTGTGTGAATCTATGATGTATGTCCTGTCCTTTTTCCTTTCCATTAGTGTCATGTCGACTGTTGCTGTTGGTAAAATCCAGGGTGGTAAAACTGATAGCGGTAAATGTGGACTTATTTCTAAATTATGTATTTGAACTTCTTCTGTTTTCTTTCTTATGATCCATCCAAAACTTCTTGTTTGTTTTTTCTCTTTTTCCCAGCATGGGATTAGTGTATCGAGTGTTGGATGATCCGGGTTATTGCTTTGTAAGTTTATCCAGTAATTTATTGCTAGTTGTGTTCTTCTTAGATCTAAAGGCATCTCTCCCATTTCTACTTCTAGCGCTGTTGTTGGTGTAGTTTTGAATGCTCCTGTGCAGATTCTTAACGCCTGATGTTGTATTGTATCTAATTTTTCCAGATGAGTTTTTGCTGCTGATCCATAAATGATGCTTCCATAATCAATGTTTGATCTGATTAATCCGGTGTATATTTGTTTTAAAGCTCCTCTATCTGCTCCCCAGTCACTGCCAGCCAAACATCTCATAATGTTTAATATTTTCTTACATTTATCGATAATTTTCTGTATATGTATCTTCCATATTATTTTTTCATCAAACCATACTCCTAAAAACTTTACACTTTTTACTTGTTCTAATTCTTGATTATATAATTTTAATTTTATTTCCTCTCTTATTCTTTTCTGTGTAAACACCATAACTTTTGTTTTTTCTACTGAGAACTTAAATCCCCATTGAAATGCCCATTTTTCTATTCTAATTATCATATCTTGTATTTTTTTAATAACAAATTCTGTATTTCTACCTCTTTTCCATATGGCTCCATCGTCCGCAAATAATGAACATCCCATTTCTTTCTCAATGTCTGTAAATATATCATTTATCATTATGGAAAACAATAACGGACTTAATATGCTTCCTTGTGGCGTCCCATTTTCTACTGTAAATTTTCTTGATAGTTCTTGCCCAATTCTCACTTCTATTGTTCTGTCTGATAAAAAGTTTTGAACCCAGTTAAACATCTTTCCATTGATCCCCATTTGACATAATTTAATTAATAACCCTTCTACCCACATCATATCATATGCTTTCTCTAGATCAAAAAATACAGCGACTACACTTTCTTTGTTGATTTGTGCTTTTCTGATTTCATGCTCTAAGCAAATTGTTGGGTCATTAGTATTCCTCCCTTTTCTAAACCCACTCTGATATTTAGATATATACCCTTTGATATTTAAATAATAAGTTAATCTATTATTAATCATTTTTTCCATTATTTTACACATATTTGATGTTAAAGCAATGGGTCTATAATTTTCTGGGTTTGTATTGTCTTTTCCTGGTTTGGCTATTGGAACTATGATCGCCTCCTTCCAGCTCTCTGGCAGCTCCCCTTCCTCCCAGATTTTATTGTAAAATTCTAATAGTGTATCTTTTGATATTTCACTTAGATGTTCTATCATTGTGTACCAAATGTTATCTTTACCAGGTGCTGTATTCTTTGTTTTCCTTAGTGCATAGTTCAGTTCTGTTTTAGTAAACGGTTCATTCAATAAATTATTTGTTTCTTCAGTATTTTGTTGTAAATCTTTGTATTTTAGTTTTGTGGCTTCCTGACCTTTCCTTCCTTCTTCACTCATGTTACTAGAACTATGAATTTTACTAAATGTTTCTGCTAATATTTCAGCTTTCTCGTCATCTTTTGTAATAGTTTTGTTACTTATTTTTAATACTGGATATTCATATTCTTTTTTAATACCATTCATTCTTTTAATTATTTTCCAAATTTTTTCAATTTTTGTTTCTTTTCCCACTGTGTTACAGAATTTTCTCCAATATTCTCTCTTTGTGTTCTTAATTATTATCCTTACCATAGC